TGATAGCGTCAAAATAATGCTAGAAATGCGTTTCTGACTTAATGTACTTTATTTAAATATATGCCACTATCTCTTACAACAATGCATTATTCACAAAAATACATTACTTCAACAATGAGTGACGCCATCCTTTCAGAAGGACGTCGGGGTTATCTGGGTTAAGATAATATCCGTACTGTCCTACCTACAACAATGGTACTCAACATTTTTCAAACAATACTAGCGTCCTTTTAACATGACTACGTCCGGTATAACGCAACGGGCGGTTGTATAATGCTTTACCCCGCATTGACTGCATCCCAATATTTTGAAACGACCGATTTATCGTCGCCACCCCATAAGCAAGGAGCTCCCCCGATGCAGGGGTTGGCGAGAGCAGACAACACCGCGTGGCTGCCCGGGTGACGCGCGTGGGGGGGGCGGAGAGTGGGATGAAACGGCGTCAAAGAGGCTTCCCTAGCGTGGAGAGACGGCCGCAGGCGGCAGGGGGCCAGCGCTGAAATATTGTTTTTCAAAGAGCAAAATCGATCGCCGGCCTTGAATCAATCGGTGAGCGAGGATTTTTAATTCTGGGGTCGTCACTCGCTAGGGCTTAATAAAGCAAGGGCGCGCGCGGGGCCGACGGGGCCCGGTCGGGAGGGGTTAGCGGGGCAGTCAGGGGTCGACCGTGCGCGGAGGGGAAGAAGGAACGGAGGGAGAGGGAAGGGGCAGGAAGGTGAAAGGGCGACGTAGAGGCAGGGACTGGGCCGGAAGAACCGGGAGAGACTCGGAGAAGGCCCAGGGGCAGTGGGGTGAGCGAAGGGGCAAGGAGGGCAGGGAAGGTGGGAGGGCATCTGAAAGGGGCTGGGGAGGGGCTTGGGAGGGGCGGGAGGAGCCGGGAGGGGGCGGGGAGGAGCCGGGAGGAGTGGGAAGGATCCGGGAAAAGCCGGGAGGAGCCGGGGGGAAGCCGGGGGGAGCGGGAGGAGCCGGAGGAGCCGGGAGAGCCGGGAGCAGCCGGAAGGAGCCGGGAGGAGCCGGGAGGGGCAGGAGAGGCAAGGAGGGGCAGGATGGATCGGGAGGGCGAGGGTGGGTGGTAAAGGGGGCATAGAGGAGGAGGGTGGGAGCAAGTGGGGGCCGTGAGGAGAAGGTAGGGGTGACAGTGATGCTGTGTGTTGTATGGGTCAAAGCGGAGCAAAGGCAGGGACGCGGGGAAGAGACCGAAAGGGACCGTGAAGGGATCGTGAGGGCGCGGGAGGTACCGAGAAGCACCGGAGGCACAGGAGGGGCTGAGAGGGACAGGGAGGGGCGGGAGGTGCAGGGAGGAGGAGGGGCCGGAAGAGTCAGGGAGGGACAGAGAGTTGCAGAGAGGGGAAAGGAGGAACAGAAAGATGCAGGAAAGACCAGGGAGGGGATGAGGGGGGCATGGAAAGTCATGGAGTAACCGGGAGAGGCCAGGACCTACTAGGCGTTGCCGCGCGGGCCATAATGCCACATGGGGGCTGAAGTCGATCGGGTCGGAGTGAGGTGGGGCAGGGGTGAGGAATATGAGCGGGGCGGATTGGCATATGGCGGAGCAGATCTCTCTCCTCCACCCTTCCCACCAATTGCGACTCCCTCCACGTCAAAGGCCACTTCGTCCGCGTGTGCGACTCCGCTGACCCGCGTCAAATACTGTGTCCGTCGCAGGCGGAAATCCCAATGCAAATTAGTCACATTCAGTGTTTCGTTTCGGATCATGAAATTAAAGAACGTGTGCCCAGTTTGATTGCAAGAGAGCATGTACGACCCATATCTTCGTATGACGCATAGCAAAATTACAACGAACGTGAATACATGCCGCTTCATTTGTAAGCGTGCACCTTTTTGAGGCCTTTTAGATGAAACAATAGGATCATTAATCCAATCAGTTAACGAACAATAAAAGGGAATAAAGTAGGAAGATATAGGCAATGTAATGAATTGGCAAATTAATATAAAAACGTATATTTTGTATTTTCGTGCTGCAAAAAAAGGTCAATTGCCTATTTTTGTAAACCTTTTTTCGCCGAAACTGACCGATCTAATATATCTCTTTTTCAGATAAATGGTACTTATTTAATTATGAAGTATTATCTTCGCGATACAGAAAGCAGTTGTTGTTTTGTAACTTTGCACAGTCTTCTATTTTAAAATGAAATCAAACTTGACGAATGATAATTGTAAAATCTTCTAGATAGTATCTGGTGAGTATTTATGAATTCAAAAATTCAACAACTGCCTTAAAAATCTTTAAAGTGACAGTTTTATACTCGAAATAAGTTTATTTTTGTCTGAAACAAAAAAACTTACATGTTTTCCTCTTAATAAAAATCGATGTGCATTAAACTCCAAAAACAATCAAACGAATACATCGTGGTGAAGCCTCATATAATAACTTATACTCGTAAGCTTTTTCAATCAACTTCAGTATGTTCATTGTCCTTAGTGGTCTTTAGTTTCGGTAGATTTTGAAACCAGTTGTGTTCACGGAATTTTCTTCCTGGATAAAATTCTGTATTCGTGAAAATTATTTTTAAAGTTTATAAATATGTTTTTGTTCTTTACACAGTCTTCATTGCTAAAAATGAAAATGTCTTCATATTCAGAAAATAATTCATCACAGGCGTTTTGAAATGCAAATCTCAGCTTTCTTCTCCAGATCTTCATTGGAATTGTTTTCCCGGCTGAGGGAGTCACTTCGGAGGTTTTGCTATGTCCCAACATGCACAACAGTTTACCAGGTGCTGTCGTGTATCTATGTCGACATAATTCTATGGACAGGTTGTCAACTTTCACATATTTCGTGTTTACAGTCACAGAACTTCAGCTTTCGCCAATGTTTCGTCAATACCCACATAGTGTGCCCTAGTAGTCGTTTATTATTTTCTCGGCAGATATCCAAGCATATTGTCAGTGTCTGGGATTCAATCGTGGGGTGTACTCCACAATGAATGCGCCAACCCTATAGGAGATGGATAAGTATATCCGATACGGGAATAATAGGGCAGTCTTTCATTGGTGACGCCTCTATAGCACTTGGAACCTGTTCGGCAGTTTGAGTAGCACAAGCGGAAACCGAAGACCTCTTTAAAGGAGAGTTCCCCTCACTAGGCAATGCCCTCAAGGCAGGTGGGGTGTGGAGTTCACAAAGTTTATAAAGTCTCTAGTGGTAGGTGAGGATCCTTTCATTAAAGGACTATATTCTAACTCAGGGGTAGTCTCGGGGGATGTGCCCAAGTTACAAGTCCCATACGACCCTCTTCTGCCATCATTGCCAACGTTCGCCAATCAGGCGCTTGTCAATCCCAAATATTCCGCATATTTGTCTTCTCCCTCTACGCGAACACAGCACTCTAGTCGGGCGTCCGCGTTTCTGACAGGCAAGCTCGGCACGTCTACCCCCTCTCCGCTCAAACGACGCTGGAGCTGGGTGGCCACGTTTCCCACAGGCAAGCCCGATGTGTCTATTCCCTCTCCGCGCTAATGACTCGGGTGTTGGGCGACTACGTTTCCATCAAGCAAGCGCTGAGTGTCTACTCCCGCTACCCTGATAGGTCACGCGAGTTAGGCTGTCACGTTGAAAACAGGCAAGCCCGAGCATCTACTCCGTCTTTTTGCATCACGTCGTGGGCGCAGGGAGGCCGCATTTCCAACAGGTAAGCCTGGTGCCACTACTTCTCAGCGCATACGTAAGATGAGGTATATGTCTGCGTTTCCAACACGCAAGCTCGGTGCTACTACTCCTCGGCGTTTCCAACAGGTATGTCGCACATGTTGGGCGGCCGCGTTTTCATCAGCCAAGCCCGGTGCAACTGCTTCTCAACTCTCATGTCACACGAGTTCGGCGGCTGCGTGTCCAACAGGCAAGCCCGGCACATCTACTCCGAGTGCGCGTAACACATGTTTAGCCGCATCAGTCACGGCTGCAGCAGAGGGTCGTATCCATGGACAGTCCGATGAATGTGGAATGGCGGGATGTTGGACCTGCCCAGGTTATGGTAGTAGCGGCGGCTGCCGCAGCCGGAAAGGGGACTGCTTCACGCAGTAAGGGATAGTGCGCGGGGCGTGGCCACACCCTCTCCGCACTAATGTCACAGGAATTGCGCTACCGCTTTACAAACAGATAAGTCCGAAGCACCAACGCCCTTTCCGCACCTAAGTCGCAGGAGTTGGGAGGTCGCGTTTTCACTAGGCAAACCCGGTGCAACTCCTTCTCGGCTCTCACGTCACAAGAGTTGAACGGTCGCGTTTCCAACAGGCAAGCCTGGCACATCTATTCCCTCTCCGCGTACGCGTCACAGACGAGTCACATCAGTCGCGGCTCCAGTAGACGGTTGTACGGAGGACGGGGAATGGCAGGATGTTGAAACTGCCCAGGAAGTCGCAGTTGCCCAGGGCACAGGGCGTGGCTACTCCCTCTCCACGCCCACGACTCTGGAGGTGGGCGATAGAGTTTGCAACAAGCAAGCCTGATGCGACTACTCCTTCGCATATACGCCACACAAGTTCAGCGGTCACGTTTCCAACAGGCAAGCCCGGCTCATTTACTCCCTCTTGGTTCACAAGTCACACGAGTTGGGCGCGGGCGCATTTCCAACAGGCAATCCCAGTGCGACTACTCCTCCTCCTCCGCACTTCTCACGAGTTGGGCAGTCGCGTTTCCAACAGGCAAGCCCTGTCCATCCACTCCCTCTCGGTTCACAAGTCTCACGAGTTGGGCCCGGCCACTTTTCCGACAGGCACGCCCAGAGCGACTACTCCTCCGCGCACACTTCTCACGAGTAAGGCAAGCCCGGCCTATCTACTCTCTCTTGGTTCACAAGTCTCATGGCGCGGGCGCATTTCCAACAGCAAAGCCAGTGCGACGACTATCCTCCCGAACACTTCTCACAAGTCGGTCAGCCGCGCTCCAACAGTCTCGGTTCACAAGTCACGCGGGTTGGGTGCGGCCACGATTCCAACAGGCAAGCCGGGCTCAACTCCTCCCTCCCGGTTCCCAAGTCTCACGAGTTGGGCGCGGCCGCTTTCCCGCCAGGCAAGCCCGACTCCGTGTACGCGTCACACACGTTGAGCCGCAACGGCCGCGGCTCCAGCAGACGGTTGTAGCCCTGGGCGGCGCGGTGGACGTGGAACGGCGGGATGTTGGACCTGCCGAGGAAGTCGCGGTTGCCCAGCTCCGGGTAGTAGCGCCTCCGGCCGCGGCCCGGGGCCGGCGCCTGCGCGCAGGGGTTGCAGGAGGTGCAGGGCGTCGGGGGGCAGGGAGCCTGCGGGCCGGGAGCGGGGCGGGGCGAGCGGGCGTTGGCCCCAGTCAGAGACGTGCTCGACTGCTCCATGATGGTGCTGAACACCGGCTGCAGCGGCGGCCTGCTGGAGGAACCGAGTCGGAAGCGAGAGGTTTTAATTTAGTTTCGAGTTTACTTGACTCTTATAGTTATTGGCAGCCAAAATTAAATTGAAGCGTACTTCAATTATACGGGTTACACATTTATGTAAACTTCACTTTTACTCGTTGTAGACTTTAGAGTTCATCGTAGGTACAGTTCTTCTCCATCTTCAGGTACTCTAATATTACAAATTAGGCCTAAAGGAGGTTTCGTAAATTAAAATTATTTCTGTACATATTTAAAAACTGCCATATTTGTTTTTATATAATATTAATTTTAATTTGAGTAATCCCATGTAAATTATATTATTACAGAATATGAACGTCGATAAGAACTTTCTCCTAAACATTGAACAGTACAATGAACTCTATAGTATATAAAGAGTGAAAGTGAAGTTTAAATAAATGGGAAACACGTGTAAAAAATTAAATTGCTTCAATTTAATTTTGTATATCAATAAAAACAACGAGCTATCAATAAAAATAAGAAACAAGTAAATCTCAAAATTAATTATTAATGACAGTCTTTAGAAATTACACTCAGATTTTACTCTACGCAATAAAACTATTGTAAGACAATCGATTTGTCTCGGCGAGAGGAATCGAATGTAAGTCTTTAAAACTCCACAGGTCGCGTTTTAAAGTGCGTAACACTTCCCCCCTCCAACACGTTTTTTTCGAAAATTCACAACAAAATTATCTTCATTTATCGTCAATCCTAAGAGTAAAGTCGTAACGATTGACGTAATGCTACAAAGCGAGAATAGTAAGTCAGTTCGATTCAATTGCTCCCGTAGGTACATTGCAACTAAAAACGCGTGTTTTTCTAGTAATTTTTCAGAATAGTCCAGGCGGAACTGGTTCAGAATTGTGGTAATCGATTTCTTTCGTCGAGATGAATGGAATGAGCTTCTAATCGACGCTGTACGTAAATCACCCATAATGGGTTTTAATTGCTGAAAAACAAAAAGAAACACTTTTTAATAGAATTCTTTTCTGAAAGGATTTCCGCTAGGATCCGCAAAAAAATTATTAGTTCTCCTCCATAATACGAGCCGCGTCAAATGCCTCAGTCTAGATTGGTGAACCAGAAGGGGTCTACCATGAGAGAGAGGCAGACCAACGGACGGAAAGATTACTATATAAGGGTATGCCAAAATCTTTTGAAGGCAATCGAATACGATAAAACATTGTGTAATGCACATGGATAAATAGACATTTACAAAACTAGTACAGAGATTGATCGTTTGGCATACAAATGAAATGTTGAAATGAGTGCGCCAAAGACCTTTCGTAGGAGTTTCGTAGGTTTGTACGAGTAGGATGAATTCATGAAAACATTCAAGAATCTATAGTATTTGGTACGAATATGGCATGCTATTTTGCCGTAAGTATACTGTTTTGTACGCATATGTTTTCTATTGAGTACTAGTTTCCATGCATTAGTGCTGAAAAGACCATTAGTATGTGTTCGTGATAAATTTGCTCGTAAATAATCAACTAAGTTCCGCATAATGGTCTCTTATGCCACCCTTTAGGATAAATAACTACTAAATCATCACTTCTATTCATATCATTAATTTTATTCTATTATTTCTGAAACGTTTCATCTCTGGCAAATTTTTCTCATACTAATCGGCAATTAATTCGCCATAAATATACTAACTTTATTCTTCGATATTTTATTTACTTATTTACCTTAACAATCGCCCTATTTAAATACTGCGGTAGATATTTCCCGATAAAATTTGCTTGTGGATTGGGCAAGACAGCCTATACAGATGCTTGATTATGAAAACTTACGTAAGAAATATTTACTTATATATACTTGAGATTTGAAAAGTTTCCTCGTCATTACCAGTAAATAATAATTTCATAAATCAAGAAACATTGTAATTTCTGGTTCTATACTTCAAAGAAACAAAAAACCTACATGCCATTTTATATAATAAATTCCAAGAACAATAACAATTTTCAAGATTAATAACAATAATAACCCTGTCGTTATTTGATATTTACCGCTACTCCACCCTTGGCCATTAAGTATTAGAATTATAATTGAAAATGTATTAAGATCTATTCCAAATATTAATCTTCTTCTTCTTGGTTTTATACCCCATTTAATAACTTTTCTGTTCTCTGCGTACTAGAACCGTCGCTTTCACGTCCATTTATATTTCCATTCTCAGCCTAGTCTAATACTATTGAAGCATCTTCTTCCTTTCCACACATAGATTTATATTTTGTTACACTTACATTTCTACCATCAACAATATACACAATTGCTATGTTTGCCCATCTCGGAGAATCTTCCAGCCCCATCCGATCACCACCGAGTCAGAGTCCGTTCTGTCCCGTCTGTATATAACACGCTCTATTCTTCTGTCTCACCCGATGCGCAGCTCAGTGCCTAATTGTGTTTCTCTTTAGATCTATTCATCAGTTTCACCACTTCCTCGCACGCGTTCTCGTTTCTAACTGACAAATACCGCCCACGCATTTTATTTATTCATTCTTTGGCAATCGATTTTTTTGCAATACCCACGGAAATTACTGACGCGTCCATATGATATTCTATTCGTCAATAATTGCACTGTTTTTCCGTTCATTAATCACTTTTCCTTCCCTTACATTTTCATTATGAATCACTTGCCATAGCATTCCTTTATATTCCCCATTGTTGCTGTCGTACATCCATATAGATTGTACGAAATTTGTTTAACTTTTGTTTGCCTTGTGATAAATCAGTTCACATCGCATTATGAAATTAACAATCTATAATCAACAACCTATCAGTGATCAATCGATATCAATCTACTATATTTATGGATCACTTATTGAATTAATCTCAACGAGCAATTAACTATTAATAATCAACAAACATTTCGAGATTCGGTTAAATTCCAGCTGCAGCCGCAAACTACTCATAATTGGTCAACAATATTTTCATGTTATTTTTATAATAATCATACAATTAATTGGGTTGACAATACAATGGTCAATTTCATTAATTAACAATCTGTAAGTAAGAAGCTCTCCAATATACCGGTCAATTTGGCAGTAATCGCTTCTCGAAATTTGAAACTATTTATTTACATTTGTTATTCTACTCACCTTTTTAGAGGAAAATTGTAACACGAATGTATTTCTTTGTAACATTTTGTGTAAAAAACAAAACCGAAACGTTCTATAGATCACAAATTGAAACTGGCAACTGTTAATGTAGTAATTGGTGCTTAGAACAGTAACGTTCAACAATTTTCCAAGCCCTTAATCAACCGCGCGATTTCGCAGAAAAACATGGTACATATTTCGCGTGAGATACGCGTGAGCGAGATATGCGAGAAGAGAGACTGTGTATGCGCAGTAGAACAGTCAAAGCATAATTTTCTTGTTCAGAAAACATCGGCGAGCTAGGAATGGTCCAACCTTGGGTGAACTAGGGATGGTGCGAGGCAGAAATAGTCCAAAAATTTGATTTGGCGGCGTTATTAATTTGTTACATTGGTTTTCTTGCGTGCTTTCTTACACGAAATGTGAATGTAATTTTTTCCAAAAGCTTCCTGACCAAACCAGGTCGATGTTTTTGAGTCAGCATGCAGTTGAAACGTTCGCCTCCTCTGTGACGTCGGCAGTGCGCACAGATCATCGCGTTAAATTTACTTTCAGCCTCGAAGTTTTTCGCACATGCGCCCACCAGTCCTCGGCCACCTTAGAACCCCTTCACACGGTGCCACCAGCAGCGGTTTCGAGTGGCGTGTCAGCTGGCAAAGCATAGGTTTAAACGGAGGTATTTACACGAGCGGCGGAGGCGCGCGGTTGTGACACTCGGTGGTTAAGTGCCGCCACCAGCAGCGCACACGCACCACCTTCAGCAGAACACAGTTCTGAATGGCAGCGTTCACATTACACACACAACTGAACCGGTTTTTGCCTCCTGTCTGCTTTTCGGCAGCTTAAGCCGACAGCGGTGTAACTCACGAAACCTTCCTCTCTCGCGATCGGCGGTGGCTGCATGTGTAAGGCTCAGCTGCTTTTCGGAGCCACCGAGTGGCTCCATGAGAAGGGCTCTGCCGCTACTCGGTGAGCGCCACCAAGCGGCTCCGTGTGAAGGGCTCTGCCGCTTACCGGTGGCGCCACCCAGTGGCTCCGTGCGAAGGGCTCTGCCGTTTCTCGGTGGCGCCACTAAGTGGCTCCATGTGAAGGGCTCTGCCGCTTTTCGGTAGCGCCAGCGAGTGGCTCCGTGTGAAGGGCTCTAACGCTTCTCGGTGACGCCAGCGAGTGACTCCATGTGAAGGGCTCTAACGCTTATCGGTAGCGCCACCAAGTGGCTCCATGTGATGGGCTCTACCGCTTCTCGGTGTGCCACCGAATGCCTCCGTGTAAAGGGCTCTGCCGCTTCTCGGTGGCGCCACCGAGTGGCTCCGTGTGAAGGGTTCTGCCGCTTCTCGGTGGCGCCACCGTGTGGCTCCGTGTGAAGGCTTCTGCCGCTTCTCGGTGGCGCCGCCGAGTGGCTCCGTGTGAAGGTAGCCTTAAATTTCGTTCTGGCGGTTTCCATGGTAATACATACCCGCCCAGGCGACCCGCGGCAGTCAATTGTTCGGAGAGGGAGGTGCGTGTTGGCGGCGGAGACGACGGGGCCATCCCAGGCGATGAACCGGACGGCGAAAGAGGCGGAGTGAGCGGGTAGTCGTCGGACGCTTGCGAATCCTGGGAGGCACAAAGAATAGGTGGATATATTGAAGTTCTCTCAAAACTATTTAACAACTGTCTATTCGTTTTTCAGTACACCCACAAATTAATTAAAGACAGTTTGAATTTTTCTTAATACTTTCATATACAGATTTATTTAAATCATTAATTAATACACAAACCCACAACGTTTCGACAAAAACTTGATCGTCTTCACGTGTTAAAAGTTCTTATATCAGGAACACCCAATACTTGAAAGGTGATTGTCGTAAAGCTCTTCAAATCATCACTAGTTTCAATGAATCAAATAAGTTGACGTAAGAAATGTATAACAATCACTTTTCAAGCATTGTGTGTTCCTGGTATAAGACCTTTGAGCACCTAAAGAAGGGGAAAACGTTTTTGTCGCAACCTGAATATGTATATCAATGAATGTTTTAAATAATTGTGAAAATGAATATGTTACAAAAGTTCAAACTGTCTTCAATTAATTATGGGGTATAATGAGAATGAGGATATATTGAAGTCCCTGATGAGAATTATATTAAATGTTAATCTCATGAAAAATTAGGCAGATACTATAATTTGATGGTATTATGTATTTAGTTGGACCTATTTGTAACCTAGAGTAGTGCTAAAAAACGCATCACGTTTCTCACAGCTGTTATCTGCAAAATAATCTTGAAAATACAACATCTTGATTTGCAAAAACGAGCGAGTTATGGAGATAATGAAATCAGTAACATCATGTTATCTACTTGAAATGTATGATTATCAATTTATACTAAGGATATAGATTAATTAGGAAAACAGAATGCCCATTTCTTCAGGTGTTGCGACTTTTTTAGCACTGCCGTATTTGACGGAGCGTATTTTCAACAATAGCTACATAGCTAGATTAAATTAAACCACTGTCTGGAGAAGAATTGTAGCGGTCGGCTGCTCTGATAGGTAGTTTTCATTACTTTCTCTTCCAAGCAAACCCAGGCGAGTGTAGAAACAGCGAGCTGTTCCTCTCGCTATCAAGAAAGCCTAGGACCGCCGGCAATCTTCCCTTCCCCTTACAAACACAATTACACTCACACCCACTACATTTGTTGGCGCAGTCAGGAGTTTGGTGGCTGGAGCCCGCTGGAGTATACTCCATGAAGATGGGAAAACCACAATACGGCGTGTAGGTCGATCCCGCATGTTACATTTCAGCGAGGGAAAAATACCTATGTATGCACTACACTTAAGGGACTAATGACACTCACGAGACTGACGGAACTGTTATTAACCCCACAGACAACCACCAAAGCCCAACAGTCATTTTGCTACGGCGAGTAAGTATTCCTGGAGGGGACAATCTACCGTTCAGAGACAAATACTACCGTTCAAACTTTACTTTTTCCACATTAAATACTAAAAAAATCTAATATCTAAAAAAGGTACAGGTAAGGCTTGCTTAAGCAAGGAGACATTTAATAGTACAATATAAACTAGCAAAATCATCTTATATTACTCAAATGATCCATGCAAATTATATTTTATACAAAAAACACATATACAAGTATAAGAATAGTGAACGCTACTCGTATAAAATAAGAAATTGTAAGTGCACGCTAAAAACCTCTCTCATTTGGAAACTTTAGTTTACTGGCAATTTGTCTAATTAAGGAACAATCCGCATGCGATTGGTAATCTCCAATGCAAGCTCATCATTCATCCAATGTGCTTGCATCCACCAATCAGCATTACAATCAAATCGTTCACAAATGTGTGCACATCATTATAGGAAAACGTGTCTGATATAGTGACCAAAGAGAGACTTATGTCCAAACTAGAAGGTCCTGCATATCGGTGATCTGGATTAATGATGTGATATATTGTTTCGGAACACTCCCAAGAAAGCGCCAGGAAACAAGATAGAAACACGGAACCAAAAAGGCTGCAAAATTGTGTAGGATCCAAAGTGAAACATGATAAATATAATAAACTGTGAATACTATTAATTTTCGATAAGCGCATAAAAAGAAAAAAATAATCTTTCTCCGACCATATGAGAGGGTTGGTTGAGGGGAGGGGAGAGAATGGTTTCGTTAGATTCACAGGAACTAGGAAAAATTCCAAAAAAACTGTATTGCTAACTTCCAATGTCGCAAAAATTCAATGAAAATTATTCAGCCTCCGACTGTTGAGAAGTGTTTTTGCTAGAAGGTATCTAGGAGCTCGGAAATAATTCTAAATCAATTGAACAGTTTTGAATTTGACTGAAAAATGTAATTATCTGATTCTTTAATTTCACCTTTCTCCCTGTGTGCTTCTCTGCCTCTCTTAGTCCGTATTTCTCTTCCTGTCTTTCGCTTCCTGCCTTTCTCACTAATTGCCTTTCTCGCTTTGTGTGTTTATCGCTTTCTGTCTTATCGTTTTTTCGCTTTCTCTCTTTCTATTTCTCTTCCTCCTTGCCTCGGTCTCTCTCTCTCCCTGTCTCTGACTCTCTCTCTCCCTGTCTCTGACTCTCTCTCTCCCTGTCTCTGACTCTCTCTCTCCCTGTCTCTGGCTCTCTCAATACCTGTCTCTGACTCTCTCTCTACCTGTCTCTGACTCTCTCTCTGCCTGTCTCTGACTCTCTCTCTCCCTGCCTCACTCTCTCTCTCTCTCCCTATCTCTGACTCTCTCTCTCCCTGTCTCTGACTTTCTCTCTCCCTGACTCTCTCTCCCTGACTCTCTCTCCCTGACTCTCTCTCTCCCTGACTCTCTCTCTCCCTGACTCTCTCTCTCTCTCTGGCCTTCTCTGACTCTTAACTCTGACTCTCTCTGTCTCTCCATCTCCCCCTCTTAAGTAATAAAAGGATGCATTTAATTTGAACATGATCTATCTTTATTAAACAGCCCCCTTTCATTAACTCATCCTAATCATCACAGTACTCCAAGTGACGCGCTCCCCTAGGAGTACTCCGAAGGCGCCCCTCCCCCCCACCGTACCATTTGCGGAGGCGCGTGCGACTGGCCGAGCAGCTCGCCCGCGAGGCGAGCGGTGCTGGTGACGTAGGCGGCGATGAAGTGCGGCCGCGGGAAGGTGGAGTGGCTGGAGATGCTGGACAGCCGGCTCATGAGGTCGCGGCCCGCCGCCGCGCCCGCCAGCGCGAAGGACGACTGCGACGGCGACGGGGACGGCGCCCCGGCAGCCATCGAAGGACCGCGCGGCATCATGTTGATGCTGGCGCGCGCCGACGGATTGGAGCACTGACGCCCGCCGCCGCCGCCGCCCGCCAGCGAGTGAGGAGCCATGGCGAAGTTGCACCTGTTAGAACAGGTCGCAGCTGCATTCGCGTCTTCCCGCGGCGCCGCTCAGTCGCGTTTCCGAGTGGCGCGACGTGTAGCAAAGCATTGGTTTAAATGGAGGTCTTCCCACGAGTGGCGCTCTCACCATCCCCAGCGCAGATCGTCCGCGTCACGGCTAGCAGAACATAGAACTAAGGGCCTCTTTCCACGATGCCATTCAGCAGCGTTTCCGAGCACCACGACTGGTAGCAAAGCATTGGTTTAAATGAAAATCTCACAATTGACGAAGTCAAGCTGCTGGCGGTCGGTGGGGATCTCTCGCCATTACCAGCACAAAAGATCGTTCGCGTCAGGGCTAGTAGAACATAGAAGGGCTCCCTCCCTCGGTGCCATCCAGCAGTGCGTCCGAGTGGCGCGACTAGTAGCAAAGCTTTGGTTTAAATGTAGGTCTTTTCATGAGTGGTCGAGTCGCACTGCCCTGGCACTCGGTGGCGGACTCTGGCCACCAGCAGTGCAGAACACTGTTTTAAGTGGACGTCTTCCCACTCGGTCGCGCCACGGAGCTGCCGTTTATCTGCTTTTGTTCGTCGTCACCGACTCGAACTCACCCTTTTTCCACGCGTGGGCGCAGTGGCTCGCGGCTGTGGCGGCATGAGAAGGGCTCTGTCGCTCCTGGGAACCGCAGCTGAGTGGCGCCGAGGTAAGGCACTCTATTGGACCCTACCCACGGAGCCACTCGGTGGCGTCACCCAGCTACCGTCGGCCGCCGCCGACCACAAGAGGGAAGGTATCGTGAGTGGGCACATGCGGGCGACTTGGCAGGGAACAAAGTTGTCCAGCAGGGAAGACCGGTTCAGCAGCGCTTCTGTGGTACGTCTGATACGAACACTGCCTCTTAGATCTGTGTTCTGCTAGCGCAGTCGAGAACGCGTGAAGGTGCGAGCGCGCTGCTGTTGGTGGGAGTCCGCCACCGAGAGCCACAGCACCGCGACTTCGCCACTCGTGGGAAGCACCAACCTCCCACTCACCAGACCACCGTAATCGTAGAAACACAAGCCCACTTTTCGCAAAATCAATCATGTTGGATTTTAGATTCATTTGTTTCAAAGAGTAAACTGTATATTTCATCTAGAATGCCAATCATACAAATTAGTATTTTTCATTATGAAATAATATAAAAATATAATTCAACTTACGACAAAATAATCAAAACAAAATTTTTACTTTTTATAAACTTTTTGTAAAACTAATTTTTAATTTTTACTTACACGGATGCATAGACATTTATTTTATATACACGGCAAGAGCAACCTACCTGCCGTGACAGGAGTATTAACTCAGAAAACCAACTTCTGAAACGTATCAGTAATATGCACTTTTCGGTAGACTGCCCCATCGTGTGGGAGGGCGGGGGCACGCACCTGCCGCCGCCTGAGACCGGGCGCTGGGCGGAGCAGCGGCGTCCGCCCATCATTTGCCGCGGAAGGGCGATCAGGCAGCTGCGCGGCCCGGCCCGCCCACAGCGACCATGCCCGCCGCTGCCACGCCCCGACCACCGACACGTTGCAGGGTGATTCCAAGCCCGCAAAAAATGTACGTTTCTGGTTTAAAATGTGTGATACATTGTTGAACGATAACGTTTTTGGGGGTCGCTAAATACGAATTTTTATTTGCAGACGTCTCGCTCCTATTTTCAGTTGTGCGCTTATTTGTCCGCTCGACTCTCAGTCGATCTCTCTGGCCGTCGTCAGGCCGTCGGTCGGCCGTGGTCTGGGCGATCGTCTGGACCGGTCCATCAGCCCGTCATCAGTCCACCTGTCTGTTCATAATATCATCCTTGCGTCTGCCCCGTTCATCCTATAATTCACAGATAAAAAGTATTGAAACACTTAAATTAGCTTTAATACAGTTTAAAGTAAAGTGAATTATTTTTCCCTTCTTGTGCTGTTATTTCTTTTTTGATTATTCTCACTCTTGTTATGTGTTATATATGATTTTCTAGACTATTTAGACGGCCGCAGGTGTTTGAACGCAACAATGTATGTTAGCAAGTTTAAAAGGTGTGACATTGTTGACGTAACGTTTTCAAGGTCAGCAATACGTGACTTTTTATTTTTCAGGACGTCCTCCTATTTCTGTCCCCCATACCTGATGCCCCTGTTAGCCGGCATCGACTGTCACCAGTCTCTCCGTCTCATCAGCCTCTATGTCTGCCGTCCATCAGCCCGTCTGATCTAATGTTCTACCTGTCTTCCATGACTCAGCCGCCACTACTCATCCGATTTCACACAATAAAAAGTTACACTTAAGATTTAATTAAGTTGTGCAGCAGTAAAGTGAATTATCTTTCCCGTTCTTGTGTGTTTTTCGTTTTAATTTTTCTGTCATCGTGTTTTTAATTGCTCTCATATCTTTTATAGGCTATTTTGATAACTGCTCTATATTATTCATTTATAGGCCATTACATTAAGAAGTTTACATGTTAAAAAAGAATTAATAGGCATTAATTTTTAATCATTTCTTTAAAATATTGTGCATAACCATATTTAAATGTCTAATATTGAAGAACAGATTTTAAGGAAAAATCTTTATCATCAATGTTGTAGTTTTGCAATATTAATTGTATGCAATGTTCTAAAACTCAGAGTATTCACTAAAAAGGACTGCATAATTTTTTATAATCGTACTTTGCTCTATTTGAAAAAAATAAAAAAAACAAATTAGGAAGCGTTTCTGAGAAAATATATTATTTGAAATGCATATATTTTTCGCAAATTTACGCGAAAACACTAACGTTTGCAAAAAAATCTGTCTTTAAACAATGAAATTTAATAAGAAAAAATTTCTATAATCGAAATTGTCATCGTAGGACGACATAAAGAAAACTGTGAACTTTTGTAGTTTTCGAAAATTGAGAGAGTGCAATGAAAATACCATACGCCCCATTTTTTAAGCGTTTTTTGCTCTTTAGGAGGAAAACATTTAATCAAAAACCTTCTAGTCATTTGTGAGAAAAGTGTGAAAATGTAAGATGTCATGTAAAAATCAAACTATCCTTTTCAAATTCCATTATTCTGGTCATCGAGTTCGGTCGGATCGTTACGAAATTTTTATTATAACGAAAATCACCTGATTGGTTAGGAGCTACGTTCACGTACGAACAGATGGAATGGCGGTATGACAGCCCACGGACGGACAGTCACACAGACAGTTAATCAAGCAAACTGACAGGCAGGCAGACAGAGAGACAGACGTTTTGTCGCCAATCAATATTTCACTATTCTAAAATCATTGCTTCATTTTAAACACAATAAGGGTAATTTGAACGATATCAGCTTGACGTGAGCTTGGTCAGCACACCACACTATTTAGGGCTGCACAAGGACTGAGAGTCTTGTGCTGTCGCGATATGGCGTTCCGGCCCTCGCGACACGCTGCCGCCGGCGAGTGACCCAGTTGTCACTTGCCGACGCCAGCGCTCCGATGCTATAAAATGGCGAGGGCTTCGCACCTCGCCCCTCTTATTACGCATCAACCTGCTGGAGCCAGCCGTCGTCACGCCACTCAGTCCCAGGACGTAGGGTCCACTACGAGTGAGTAAGATTGAACATGTTTTGAGAATACTCTCTTTACTTCCTCCCTGCATGACTCGGTGGGGACCTCCCTCTCCCCCTCAACTCGCGACAGTGCCATAAAAAATCCGTAATTTATTATATAATAAACAATACTTCCTGTGCATTTCAAAAGCTGAAATTTCGCATGTAAATCAGTCTTCCAATGCACAATCGAGTAGGAAACTCAAAGGCTCGATATGTGACCTCTGAGATCCCCCTATCAGTATCGAAAGCATCAATAACGGTAACCAGGAGAGGTGACTCAAGATATCAACTGTGGCAGGATTTTCGACACTATCCAGATAGCTAGTGTGAGTTCTGTCGCTGTCTGGAGAAGAATTATAGTGGCCGGCAGCTCTGATCGATAGTTTTCCATCGCTTCTCCGATCAATACCAAGCGAATACCGTCGCAGTAATACGGAGCTACGGACCGCGCTCGATCTTTCCTTCCTCTTCACTGTCCTATCCTCCCCCTTACATACACACACACACACACTAAAATGCACTACACTACCACACATGCCGGGAGACTAGTCTGGTGCTAAGAGCTTGTCCCGGCGAAGGCGGTGACCCGCAGGTGGGAGATACCTAGTTGGGGAAAACCCCCATAGTGAACGGTAGCTCGGCGCCGGATCTCGCCATCCAGCGAGTCACCCGCACCTCCCGCAATGAAAACACGCTCTACACTTACGGGACAATGACCTTAACAGTTACTAATCACTAGTTTTCAATCAATAGGTGTCAATCAACCAATCAACAATGACCTTAACAGTTCCTAATCACTAGTTTTCAATCAATAGGTGTCAATCAACAATGACCTTAACAGTTCCTAATCACTAGTTTTCAATCAATAGATGTCAATCAACCAATCAACAATGACTTTAACAGTTTCTAATCACTAATTTTCAATCAATAGGTGTCAATCAACCAATCAACAATGCCCTTAACAGTTCATAATCACTTGTTTTCAATAAATAGGTGTCAATCGACCAATCAATACCCGGCGCTTCCAGCGCTGCACGGGCGACTTCGAGACAGGCTCTCGCGGCTGCTCCAGCGCCCGGCCAGGCTCTCCAGGCTGGAGCGCGAGCAGCCCCGCAGGCTCTGCAGGCTGGTGCGCGCGCTCAGCGGGATTTGCCGCGCGCCGCCGCCTCCGCCG